TCTACTGCTGTGTGTCTGTCCATGAAGGGGTTAATGCTGTGTGTCTGTCCATGAAGGGGTTAATGCTGTGTGTCGGTCCATGAAGGGGTTAATGCTGTGTGTATCTATGAAGGGGTTAAGGACAAGTGGGCTAACCCAGATTTCGGGGGTTTCCAGAAATCTTGACCTACATCAAAAGTGGGCATTGCCCTACCTATAGGAGAAGTTTGGTTTCATTGGTGTGTATATTTGTTTGGTTATAGAGAAAACTCTCCTTGTCTTTTAAAGTAACTGAACAAGGGGCAACAACTCTACCTTCGATTTTCTCCAAACAGTAGGCCTATTTTTCCGGATAGCCCCCTTGTGCTGAACTCTTTCTCTATGGCTGGAGGGAACCACCGTGCGATGGGAAGCCGTCATTGTATTGTGGTACGGGCCGAATATAAAAATGTACGAGCTGACAAGCCTTTAGTTTGACCCCGAAGTCAAAGATCAAAGAATTCTACGTCTGGGTAGCGCTTTATTGATCACTTTGACAGGAAACAATCGTTTTGATAAAGGTAATATATTGGGTCGCATTTCCGCAAAGAATTCCGCGGGAACGTGATTAAATTGCTTGGTTAAAGTTAAAGGGATAAAAGAGGCCGTTTGTGGTGTGGGTGAGGGGTCTACTATGGACTGTGGATGAGGGGTCTACTATGGACTGGTGTGTGGGTGAGGGGTCTACTATGGACTGGTGTGTGGGTGAGGGGTCTACTATGGACTGTGGATGAGGGGTCTACTATGGACTGTGGGTGAGGGGTCTACTATGGACTGTGGGTGAGGGGTCTACTATGGACTGCTGTGGGTGAGGGGTCTACTATGGACTGCTGTGTCAATGGAGTCCTACGTACATACATCCATATTTATATATATATATTATATATTATGATTTCTCTAGTCTTCTGTAGCCAGTACTTATGGCAAACACAGGGTGAGGCACGCGGTGACAAATGTGGGTGTCTGTGTTGTGTGTCTGTCTGTCTGTGTTGTGTGTCTGTGGAGGTGTGTTGTGTGTCTGTCTGTGTTGTGTGTCTGTGTTGTGTGTCTGTCTGTGTTGTGTGTCTGTGGAGGTGTGTTGAGGTGATGTGTCTTCCTGCTACGGCATCATTTTCGTCAAACAAACCAACATACAAACCGACAAACAAACCAACTAACAAACCGACAAACAAACCGACATACAAACCAACATACAAACCAACATACAAACCGACAAACA